CCCATGCCGACTCCCGGTCCAAAGAAGCCACTGCCCGTCCCGAGGTGCGGCAGACCCGGTCGCCCTCCGCCGCCCGCCGGCGTCCCCGGCCCGCTCGCCGAGCCGCCGCCCGCGCCGTTCTTGCCGCCCGAGCCGTCCTTTGGGTACATGGGGCACGAAGTGTTGGTCGACATGTGGCCCACCTCGCCGCACCGCCCGCACCGGCGCTTGGTGTCGGTCTTGTTGAGCAGCTTCTTGTACCCGCCCGGGATCGCCAGCCCCTCGGCCGCCGCCTTGGCATTCTTGCGCTGGATGCGCCGCTCCTGGTTCTTCTTGCGCTGCGCCAGCTCCTCTTGCAGCCGCTTCATCCGGCTCGCGTCGATGGCATCGTCCCCCGTGGGCACCAGGTCCTCGGTGGCAATCATCTCGTCCTCAATCTTCTTGCGCTGCGTCACGTACGCGTTGATCACGGCCGCGTCGCGCACAATCTCCTTTTGCCACTTGCCGTTGACCAGCCGTCGGATGCACAGCACCCGAGACCCCTCGCCGCCGTCCTGACCTTCGCCGCCGGGTCCGGGCGTGCTCACCCGGCTCGGGCTCCGATCGCGCCGGATCGAGTCGGCACGGGACTGGGCGCGTCCGTGGCCCCTGGCACCGCCGCCCAAAAAGGGGCCCTTCTCGTCTTCGGGCGTCAGCTCCGGCGGCACCGGGTTCGACAGCGAACGGCACTGGGCGTTCCAGATCCGGTCCACCTCGCTCCGGTACACTGCCTGCTGCTCGGCCACGCTGTACTTGTGCCCGGACTTGGACTTGGCCTCGGCCTCGGCCTGCGCCATCCGCTCGTCGGCATCCTCGCCCGCCCGAAGGAAGATCTCCTTCATCGACACCCGGATGAAGCTGAACGCCTCGCCGCGGCCCGTCGGGTCGCCGGGCCCGTGCAGCTTGAGCATCGCCTTGCCCTGGGTGGCGTTGATAAAGTTCTTGCTCGTGATCCAGGGCGCCAGCAGCTGCTCGATGTCCATCTTGCTCTCGTCGCCGTCCTCGTCGGCGCCTTCGGCCGACTTGGTGTAGCCGGCGTCGAGCAGGTGTCGCTGTCCGACCTGCATGCTCTCGGCCAGCGCGATGTGCTCCGGTGGCAGCAGCTTGAACAGCTCCTGCTCGTCGGGCACCACAATGTGCGGCTTGAGCTTCCAGAAGCCCTGGTTGACGTCGCCCGCCTTGCGGTTGTACTCCATAAACTCCTGTTGGGCGCGATCGAAGAGACGAGACCCGTTCCGAAGAGAGGAAGCAGACGCCAGCGGGGCGGGATTGGATCAGCAGTGGAACGTGACGCCGTAAGCGAGTCGGGCGCATCTCGCCGGCGCGTTCGTCGACTCACCTTGAGACGTTGGCGCATCTGCAGCTCGTTCTGGTCCGGGAAGTAGCGCATCAGGCGGTGGATCTTGATGCGCTGCCGGTAGCTCTTCTGGATCAGCTTGTACGCTATCATCTGCAGGCGGTACTTGATGTTGTTGGTCACCAGGCGGGCGTGCGGACCGGGAATGGGCTGGATGGGGTAGGTCTGGCCCACGACGAACAGGTTCTTGATCTCGCGCAGGTAGTAGCGGATCTCGTTCTTGGTCGTGCTGCGGATCAGGAGGAAGTCGGTGTGGGCAGGCTTGTGCCGGAAGAGGGGCGCCCGCACCAGGTTGTTGTAGAGCGTCGGCTGCACCTTTCCCGCCTCGATGTTGCCAAACTTCATAAAGGGCGACTCGTCGGCCACGTCGAGCACGTAGGGCTCGCCAATGTCGAGCTTGGGGATGTGCTCGTCCTGGGGCGACTTTTTGCGGTAGTAGTTGACCAGCAAGCTGCCCATGCCGAGGTTGGAGAGCAGCGGCGGGTACTCTTCCGAATACTCGTAGAGCACGTACGGGCCCGTGTCCTTGAGCGTCAGGTCGCGCGTGGTGCGCAGCACCTCGTTGGGGTCCTTGGCCTTCTTGGCGTTGCCGCTGCCGTCCTTTTTCTTCTTCGAGGACCGCGTCTTTGAAAACGTGAGCGGCATGTTGGTCGGGAACTGCATCGCCGGCCGGTGAAACGAGCGAGCCTCGGCCTTGGTCAGCTTGGTCTTGTACCAGGGCAGCTGCAGCTTGGTGGCGGGCCAGGCGTGCTGGACGACGAGCTTGCCGAGCGTTTGGCGGACGCGCTGCCGGTGCTCGCGCGCCTGCTCGTAGAAGCGGTCGTTGGAGAGGTTGAAGGGGTCCATCTCGGCCGTGGGCCTCGACCCGGCGGCGGCACCGCGCTGCTCGACGGCCGTCTGAGAGGGCGCATCCGCCCGGAAGAGGGACGTGTGCTTTGCCTTTGGGCCCGTGTCCTCCTCGAGCATCATCTGCGGGTCGTTCATGTCCAGCACGAGCTGGTCAAAGGCTTCAAAGGAGCAGCTGCCGTCCCAGATGATGCCGCGCAGCCAGCCACCTCCGGCCAGTTCGTGGCTGAAGGGCTTGTCGATGCTGGGCATCAGCGGACCGTCTTCGAGCGCTTCGACCGAGGCCGAGTCATATGAAAGAGCCTCGTCGCCGTCTGCCGAGGGTAGCAGCTGCTGCTGCTGGTCCTCTGGCACTCGCTCGGCGTTGCCCCAGGCGATCCGCTCCTCCCAGTCGTCGAGCTCGACCATCGCCAGCTTGGGTCTGCTGCGCCGTGCTGCCGCACTTTTTGCTGCCGATGCAACCCCCGCGGTCGAGATGATTTCGATGCCGCCCTCGTCAGAGTCTGCCTCGTCTCCGGGCGCACGGGCGGCATTGACAAGGTCGTTGGTCAGCTGTGAGACCAGGGGCGGCTCTTGGGGAGTGCTGCGGGTGGTGCGCAGCAGCAGCAGCTCGCGCGTGCTCTGGGGCACAGGCAGCTCATCGTCAGGCTGCAGATGGAACTGGGCTGGTTTCGCAGCCAGCTTGCGCTTTTTGGCGGGGCGGGTGGCGAAGAGGTCGGTGAAGTTGAGGACCCTGTCTGGGTCAAAGTCGGGAAAGAGGCGGCGAACCTCGTCGATGTCGATGAGCGGAGCGCGGGTCGGTGGTTGTTGCGGGGGAGGGGTGCGCGGCTGCGGCGACTTTGCGCCGGTGGGCAATACGATGCCGGCTGCTGGCGTGCTGTTGGTTGGGGTTGGGAGCGAGAAGAGTGAGGTGGCGCTGTCGTCGTCGATCTCTGACTTGATCTTGACGGAGCCAGTGTCAAAGGTGGGACCCCGCCCTGGTTGTTGCTGCTGTTGGCGTGAGAGCGGGACGTCGTCGGCGTCGTCGTCATCTCCCTGGTGGTCCTGGCCGCGCTGGACGTCGCCGTCGCCGTCGTCGTCATCGTCAAAGTCGTCGTCTTCGCCGCGCAGGCGAGTGGTGGGCTTTTCCAGCTGTGCCATTCCCTGCCTGTAGTACCTGTCGAGTGCGGCCCTCTCCTCCGAGTCTCTCTCCTGGGCGAGCTCCCTGCGCATCTCGTCGTCGACCTCGCGCTCCCAGTCCTTTGCGCCGCCATTGGCGCGGTTGCTGGTGCCCAGCGGGCGCGTCGAGGCGCGGTCGTGGGCGTTGCGTGCGTCGCCGTACTGGTCATTGTCTTCTTCGTCGTCGTCAAAGAAGCGGTGGTCGTAGATTTCCTCGCTCTTGAGTACGGTGTTTGCGGAGGCGATGCCGAGGCGGTGCAGGTCGGACGGGTGTTGCGTGTCGATGCCGAGGTCGCGGAGGACGTTGCCGAGGGCGAGGCCGCCGAGCTGGGAAGCGGCGTTTTGCTCGTCGTCCATGGTGGCGGGGGTGGACGAGGTGGACCCCCGTTCTCCCTGCGAAAGGTGACCCGCACGACGAGGGGAGGAAGGAGGAGGAGGATGAGGACGAGGACGAGGACGAGGACGAGGAGGTGATGGTGGTGGTGGTGATGGCGGTGGTGGTATTGGTGGCGAGCGAGAAGGCAACGAGCCCCTTGTGGAGGGTGGCCTGGCCACGCCTTGACTGAGCGGAGGGGTCGCGTTGGTTCGGCTCCGAGGACCAATCGCTGCCCGCCAACTCGCCGTTCCGCTTCACACTCTAAACTTTGTTGCTGGCCTGCTCCACATCCAGATTCGGTTTCTTTTGACTCTTTGGTGAGCCGTCAGACGCGGCGGCCACACACACGAAGAGGCAGACTCAGAGGCAACCAGCCAGGAAGCCCCGCACCAAGGGTCTTTGACTAAGAGCCTGGCCAACAGGGCTGCCCGCCACCACCACCACCACCACCACCACCAACCACCATGTTGCAACCGTAGCAAGCACCCAACACCAAAGCCTAGCACGTCCCTCGGCCCCCTCGCACATCGCCTCGTGGGCAGTTCACATCACATCACCACGGCGCGCCCGCGCCCCCCCTCCATCCTCGAACCCAGATCCGCGCCCATACGGTCACGCTCGCCCTGGCTGCGCCCCGCCCCGCCCGCCATGCGGTTCCACCTGCTCGGCGTAGGCTCCATCGGCTCCCTCGTCGGGTTCCACCTCAAGCGCTCGATACGCGCACAACGCGCCCACCTCCAGCCCTTGTCCCGGGCGCAGGCACGCAAGAACCTCCTCCTCTCCAACCTCGACCCAAACGGCGGCGACTCCGATGGCAACAGCGCGGCCGCCAACAGGGCGCTCGTATCACACATCCCGCCCCACGTCAGCCCCTTTCTGCCCAACCCGACAGACACCTCAGTCACCCTCCACGTCCGCCAGCGCCTCTTTGCAAAGCAGATTGACCGCCGCGCCCACAACTCGATCCTCGTCGATCGTGCGGGCGTCCGCGGCGTAGAGTCGGGCTTCGTCGTCGAAAGGTCGAGCGCCGCCTCCGACGTCGTCTCGTCGCTCGTGCGCACAGACGACCGCCACCGCAGGCCCGCTCAGTTCCAGATCTCGCGCGCCTCGGGGCCCAGCGCCGCCTCCACGACCTACGATGCACCCATCCCGGACGGCGACGGCGGCGTGTCCCTCATCTCGTCGATCGAGGGGCGCTACCATGACCCGCTCCACTCGCCCATCGACTGCCTCGTCATCACCACAAAGTGCGACGCCACCCTCGCCGCGCTCCGCCCGCTGCTGCCCCGCATCCACCCCTGGAGCACCGTCGTCCTCATCCAGAACGGCATGGGCGTCATGGACACCCTCCTCGACCGCTGCTTCCCGGACCCGGAAACGCGGCCAAACTTTGTCCTCGCCACCACCACCCACGGCGTGTGGAAAAAGGCGCCCCTCAACGTCGTCCACGCTGGCATCGGCGAGCTCCACTTTAGCGTCGTGCCCAGCCCGCGCGGCGGTGCACAGGGGTTAGAGATGGAGCTCGAGGCCGAGATGGCGCAGCGCTCCATCGCAGCAGCAGCAGCGGCGGCGACCGAGGGGCAGGATCTTCCGCCATTACGCAAGACGGCGGGGACCGGGTGGGACAAGTTTGCAGCGGCGGCCGAGGAGGAGGCGCGGTCCGAACAAGCCTCGTCGTCGGCAGTGGCATCGAGGGGGATACCGGGGCAGACGGCAGCGGACACGACGACGGCGACGGCGACAGCATCAACAACGGACTCGACCGCAGCAGCACCACTACAACCGCTGCTCGACGTCGGCGGCATCCCCGACGTGGCGAGCCTGCGGACGCTGCGGCATACCGTCTCTTCGCTGCTGGCGCTGCCGCTCAACGTGCAGTGGATCCCGGTGCGCGAGTACCAGCTCAAGGCGCTGCGGAAGCTGGCCATCAACGCGTGCATCAACCCGCTGACGGCGCTGGCCGACTGCAAGAACGGCGACCTGTACGCCAACGAGTCGGCCATGGACGCCATGTGGTCGGTGTGCGTCGAGATCTCGGCCGTCCTCGAGGCGCAGGTGCGCGACCATCTGGCCCGTCATCAGCGAAGGAGGGGATCGAGAGGTGGGAAGAATCGCAAGCGTTCCGGTAGCAGTGGCAGTGCTGCGACAAAAGCAGCGACGTCGACGACGGCGGTGCAGGGGGAGGAGCGGGGGCAGGTGGCAGTGAAGAGTCGACTTCCACCTGCCTCTTCGCTCTCGACTGCGGATCTACTGATGCGGATTGGGGAGGACGGACGACCGGCGCTGGATCCGAGTCTGACGGCGCGCTCGCTGTACAACGACGTGCAGCGCGCCATCCGCACCACGGCCAACAACTGGTCCTCGATGCACGCCGACGTCAAGGCGCGCCGCGGCTCGACGGAAATCGACTACATCAACGGCTACGTATCCGCCCTCGGCCGCGGCTACGGCGTCGAAACGCCCGCAAACGACCTCCTCACCAACCTCGTCAAACTCAAGACTGTCAAACTCACCGGTTCTTAGCCTCTCGCCGACGGGCTGGCGCGGAATAGCCCAGCCCGGCGAGCAAGGGAGCGAGTGAGCGTCGGACGACGCGGGAGATGTCAATGTCAAGTCGCTGTCTTTTGCCGCTGCTCTTATTGCTGCTGCTGCTGCTGTTGCTGCGTGAACATTGGAACCATGACGTGGGATGAGAGGACAAAGGAGCCGGGGGCGGGAGCGGGGGAGCAAGCGATGCTGGCAGACGCAGAGAGAGGGAAAAGTACAAGAGGCAGGGCGGTAGAGTACAGGCGGGACAAAGGCGGAATGATCTGGCGGCAGCAGCAGAGGGCGAAGGGAGGGCGCAGCGGACAGCAGGGCGTGCGGGAGCAGGGCAAAAAAGAGGCTACGAGCGGAGGTCAGTCGTTTCGCCGTTCGCGCTCAGCCCATCAAGACGTTTTGGCCTGTGCAGAGGGGCGGGAGAGAATTGCAAAATTAGTGACATCGCCACGCCACCCTGCCATCTACCAAGGCCCATTGTGCCCGTCCATGTAGGCGCGTGTCCACGTGCCTGTCCCCATGCCAGCCGCATCGGGGGCCACGGACGGCATCGACTCACCTCGCTCGGGTTCGGCGAGCTTGTGCACCATCACGCCGTCCTGGTCGACGTTGACGTTGCCCGGCAGCTCGAGGGGCGTGATGAGGACGTACTGGACGTTGCGGTACGCCATCGTCTCGCCCATGAGGAGGTCGAGGGCAATCTTGCGGTTGAACGTGTCCATAAAGACGTCAAACTCATCGAGGCACCGGATCGGGCTCTTGATGGCCTGCCACAGCGACAGGAGCAGCGACGTCGTCGTGTACGACTTTTCGCCGCCCGACAGCGCCTTGGGGTCGCCCATCTTGCTGCCGCGCCCGCGGTCGTTTGTGCGGATGCTCATGCCGAGCGTCTTGGCGCCGTGGTCAAAGTGGAGCGAGCCAGAGTAGCCGCGCTTCTGGAGGTGCTTGGTGAAGAGGTGCTTGGTCCGGCTCGCCGTCGAGCGCTTAAACTCGTTGATCTTGTCCCACCGCTTGAGGCTGGCGCGCTGCAGGATGGCGTGGAGCGAAGTCATGAGCCGGTACTGCTCCTCGCCCTTGTCGCGCCTCTCCTTGGCCTCCTCGAGCTCGCGCTGCGCCTGCTCCAGGCTGATGCCCGCCTCGCGGCTCGACCGGCGCTGCATCTCGCGCGTCGCGTCAATCTCGCGGCTGATCTCGTCGGCGCTGCGGTCCGTCTCGACCTCTTCGCTCAGCTGCTGGGCCTCGGCGACGATGGCGTCGAGCTCGCTCGCCCTCTCGGCCTCTTCGGCCTTGGCCTCCTCGAGCTTGGCCTCGGCCGCCTCGACCTTTTTGCGAAAGTAGTCTTGGTTGTTGACCAGCTTGACGCGCCGCTCAGTCGCCTTGAGCATCCGCTCGCTCAGCGTGCTGGTGGCCCGCTTGAAGCCCTCGAGCTTGGATCGGATGCCTTCGAGCTGCTCCTCGAGCGCGCGCAGCTCGTCCTCGATGGCCTGCTTGCTCGCCTGGACCGCCTTGAAGAGGTCCACGTTGTCCGCCATCGCACGCTCGCTCTCCTGCTTGGACTCGGTAAAGGCGCGGAGGTTGACCGACTCGGCCTCGGCGAGCTCGGCATCGATGCGCTCGATGTCGCGCCGGTGCATGTCGGCCTGGCGGTTCAGTCCCGGCAGCACCTTTTTGCGCATTTCGTCGATCTGCCGGTCGAGCTTGCTGCGTTCCGCGACGAGCTTCTCGAGCTCCTCCAAGGCGCGCAGCAGCTGCGCCTCGGCCTCTTTGCGGTCGTGCTGCACCCTCGCAATCTGGTCCTTTTGGCTCTGCGAGAAGCGCGGCACGCCGTCGTACTTGTTGAGCGCGATCGAGGCACTGCCCACGTCTCCTCCGCGGATCTGGTAGAGGTCGCCGCTGTAGCAGTTCTGGACATTGTGGGGCCGGCGTCGCATCAGCTGGTCTCCGTCGCGGCGGGTCTCGACCAGCGCCGAACGCTCGATGCGGACCTGGGTGACGAGCTGGCGCTTGACGACCTCGTTGTCAAACTCGAGCACGCGCAGGATCGTCAGTACCTCTGGGCTCGGCTCGCCCTGCGAAAAGTCGAACAGCTCGTCGCTGCCCGTGAGCACCATGGTCTTGTGGAGGCTCAGCTGCCGAATGTAGCGCTCCAGCCGCGATCGGTCCTGGTGGCAGGTGACGAAGAAGGCGTTGAGCGTGTTGCCGATGACGCTCTCGAGGACAGGAGCCCACTTCATGTCCTTGACCTTGAGGTGCCTGCCGAGCGGACCGACCGGCTTGACCCGCCAGTTGCGGTCCCTGTCGATCTGCTGGAGCAGCTTGGGCACGTTGACGCCTCCGAACGCGATCACGCTCTCGTGCTGGTTGCCCTGCAGGCTGCGGAGGTGGCCGTCGAACATCTCGAACCTCTGGCGCATCTGGTCGCGGTCGGCCTCGGCGCGCCTCAGAGGGCCGTGGACGTTCACTCGCTGTTTTTCGAGCTCATCGGCCTCGCGTTGCACGCGCACCCGCTCATCCTCGATCTCTTTGAGCCTGTCCTTCAGCTCGAGCTGCCTCTCCTCGAGCACGTCGCGGCGCCTGCGTCCGTCGATGTTGAGCTTATCGGCCTCGACGTCGATCTTGGCCTGCAGCTCGTCGATCTCGCCGCGCAGGAACCTTTGCTGCCGCGCCAGCTCCTTTTCCTTTTGCCTCTCGGCCTCCTGCTCCATCCGCTTGGCGGCGATCCTCTGCTTGAGCTCCTTGCCCTCCTGCAGCAGCGGAGCCTGCTTCTCGGCGCGCTGCTGCTCCTCGGCCTCGAGCGAGGTGATCTGGTCGCCCACCTGGTCCAGCTCCTCTTCCGTCTTGCTGAGCGCCGAGGCGTACTTGTCGCGGTCCTCGCGGGCCTTGTCGATCTTGATCATGGCCTGCTCGAGGCTCTCCTTGCTCTCGGCGACGAGGGCCCACGCCATCTCGTTTTTCAGGTCGTCGATCTTGGTTTGGTAGCCGCGCGCCGCCTGGACGCGATCCCACTGGCGCTCGGCCTCCTTGAGGTTGTCCTTGAGGCGGTCGCGGGCGCGCGCCTGCTGCGCCAGCTGCGTCGCCATCTTGGTCAGGTTGACCTTGATGATCTCGACCTCCTTGGACAGCGTGCTGAGCTGCGTGCCGTCAAAGTACAGGGTGTAGAGCTTCTTGGGGTCGTTGGTGCCGAGGAACTGGCGGGCATTGTCCTGGGTCAGCACGTTGATCGGGTTGTCCATCTGCAGGCTGAACTGGTCGCAGATGGCGTGGAGCTCGGCGCTGGTGGTCTCGACCGTCTTGCCGGAGCGGTCCTGGAGCTTCCAGGTGGCGGGTCCTTCGGCCTTGATGCGGCGCTCGATGATGATCCTGTTGCCGTACAGGTGAGGCTTGAAGGCCTCGTCGCCCGCGTTGGAGAGAGTGATGCGGACAGTGGCCTGGGCGCTGCCGTGCTTGACGAGGGTGCGGAGGTTCGAGGCGCGGTTGGTGGAGCTGGCCTTGGCGCCGAGGGCGATGGTCATGGCGGTGAGGATAGCGCTCTTTCCGCTGCCGTTTTGGCCAATGACGATGTTGAGCCGCGGACCGAGGTCGATGGCAAAGTTTTCGTGGCACATGAAGTTGGTTAGCTCGACGCGCTCGATGGCGCCGGCCTTGAGTTCGCTCTGTCCGGGGCGGGGGGAGGGCAGGAACGTGGGAGAAGATGGAGAGCATGCGGCAACGGGTCAGCCACGGGATGGTCGTCATGGGGAGAGGCGGCTGGAGTCGAGCGCTACGGCACGGCGAGGCTCACCATGCTGTGCGCCTCCTGATCTTCCCTCTCAAAGGCCTCCATATCGAGCCGTTCCTGTTCCTCGTCGGCGGTCTGTGGCTCCTGTTCGGCGCGTGCGAGGGCGGCCAGGGCGATCTGGACGTCTCTGTCGTTGCCTCTCTCGGCGACGATGGCGCTGGCAGATCGTCCACCGCGCTGCGACGCGTCAGCGGTGAGCTGCGAGAGGAGATCGAGCCGCTCCTCGCCTGCCTCGTCTTCGTGCGCCTGCTGGCCGTCGTCGTCGTCGCCGCTGTAAGCGGCCGTGGGGACGTGGGAGGAGCGAGCTCTCTGCGATAGAGCAGAGAGGAAGGGATCAATGGGCGAGAGGAGTGGTCAGGGCTGAGCTGGGTGGGTTTTCCTCGGGTTGCGGGGCTGCCACATCTTGTATGCGGAGAGGCTGGTCACTCTACCTACCTTTGAGGCGGCGGAGGCGTGGGCCTCTGCGCCCGAGTCGGAGACCCTCTTTCCCAGGATGGACATGGCTGCGCTTCTGGCCTCGTGCGAGGTGTTTGGGCCGATTGGGCGGGCGAGATTGTAGGTTTGAGGCTTTGCGCGGTTGCGACGTGCGCAGCAAGAGGGTCGGAGCTGGACGCAATCCGGCAGGCCCGTGGACGTTTCCCGACTCTGAGACGGGGGACTGGTGTCAGAGGCGCTGCGCAGGAGCAAGTGCGGAGCTCATGCTTGGAGGATGCCTGCGCTGCGCTTCAGAGGGTCAAGAAGGGTGGCCGCTGCTCTGCCTGGCGCCGAGGCGCGATGAAGTGTGCGGGGGCGAAGCGAGTGGAAGCGTGCTTGGTCGACCAAGCGGTAGCAATGCAGAGGTGTCGTCGTTGCCGTCGAGATGAGCGTGGGCACGAGTCGAGTCGAGCGAGTTCAAGGACAAGAGGAAGCTATAGAGGCTTGGATGAGGGACGGGGCAGGGGCAGGGGCTCAGCAGTGGGTGTTGGGTGGCGAGGCGTGGCGTGGCGTGGCGTGAGCGGGGCGTGAGCGGGGCCTGGCGTGGCCTCGAGCGGTGGAGGAGCGCGGGTGACGGAGGCAGGGGGCCGCCCACGCACGCCCGCTCGCCTTGGCCAGGCCAGGCCTGCGTTGGAAGAAAAAGAGGCGGGCGGGCGGGCGGCGGGCGCGAGCGTGTTGGTCTGGGCTCTGACTGGCCTGCCGCTGTGGCTCTCGTCGCGTTGGGCGTGTCGACAAATTGCCCCCGATGGCAGCTGTGATCCTCCAACCCCGATGGTGCACAATCGGGCAAGGGTCCCTGATTGTCCTCGCCTGCCCAATTGGGCGAGGCAGGCCCAGGGCTGCAGGTGGCCTGCGTTGATGCAGCCCGCCGTGGGCCTGCATGAAAACGAGCCCCTAAACACCACACCGCCTCGACCCCGACCACCGCCTCGACCTCGACCTCGGGGCCCTGCCGGCCTGCGATGGCCTGCCTGCCTGCGCCGCCGTGCCCTCTCGTTGGCAGCGCACAGCTCGATGGCGCCCGTCCATCTCTCGTTTGTCTGCCAACAGGCAGAAGAGTTGCAGGCAGTGTGTGAGTCTGGCAGCCGACGAACAGCCGACGACGGGCTCGTACGTCGTGGCAGGCCGACCTCGCCAACCGCGCTCGACGCCAGACCGCGCTACGCCTCGATCCACGCTTGGCCACCAGCGGGCTTTGGCGCCCACTCTGACTACAGAACTGCTCGTCGTCGCCGTCGTAATCCTCGGCGTGCTTGCTTAGCGCTGGCTGCTGCTGCTGCCCAGGAGAATCAAGAGGAGTCAGGACGACGGCTACCTGACGACAACTACTTTTTTCCCCACGGCGGTGCCGGTGGTGTGTGCTGCGCCGCCCCCCTTTGCGCTTCGATGCTTGATTCCATCCACGCTTGCTTTGGCATCCCGCCCCCTCTCTTCATCGCCGCCCGCTCCACCTCGCCTCCCCTCCCTACCGCCATCCTCAAACCTTACTCCCCTCTCCTCCTCCTCTCCCCTCGCCTTGACGCTCTTGACGCCCCCCCTCCCTGACGAAACTCCAACCCCTCCATCTCACGACATACACAACGACACCAACACTCTGCTCCGCTCCACGCCCTCCTTGTCTGCTGCTCCATCCCCATCCTCAGCGACAGCCCGTCACTTGGCCGCCCATACACCCCACCGCCTTCAGCCACCTCGACATCCTCCAGCTTGGCCTCGCCAGCGACCCGCGCACAGCTCCCCCTTGGTCCTCCCTGGCGTCCGCTGCCCAACGCATATAGCTCGCCGACATGTGGTGCGACAATTGCCTCCTCATCTTCCCGCTCAAGCACGGCGCTATCGCCTGGGACGTCTTGATCGCGGTGCGTACCCCTTTGCGGTCTGGACCGCTGAGCGCGCGCCGCCCTGCCTCCAAGCTCGCCGTGCCCTTCCGTCACGCCTCCGTACTGACACTCGCACCGCCCACGCTCCTTGATCTGCCTCGCTGTCCTCTCTTCTATCCCTCCCTGCGCCGCCGCTGCAGGTCTACAACCTGGCCGGCTCCATCATCCTCTTCCAGTACGGACAGTTCCTCTTCTTCAACTACCCCGAGTGGCAGATCTACGGAGGCATCGGCATGGCCGTCATGGCCATCTGCGTCATCAACATCATCGGCCTCAGCAACTCGTCGTACATGTTCACCCGACTCTGCTTCTTCCTCTGGCCTTTCATCCTCATCGTCGTCGCCGTCCGCGCCGGCCTCATGATCTTCCAGCTGGACCGGCAGCAGTCCAAGATCATCTGGGAGTGCAACAACGGCGGCCAGGCGTGGGGCACGCCCCAGGAGGGCACCACCAGCACCGCCACCATGCCCTCGGGTTTCTGCTCGGCCGGCTTCCACAGCCTCTACATCGCCTTTGTCCTCTCCCTCCTCGTCGACTTTGGGCTACAGGTCTACGCCTACTTCCTCTGCTGGCGCTTCATGAAGCGCATCGAGCACTACTACGCCGTCGCCACCAGCGACAAGCACCTCTACCACCTCTAGAGAGCAGGCCCGCATCCGCAGCAGCACGACCGAGGCCAGGCCCCACCCTTTATTCTTCGGGCCACGCCTTGCACTCGTCGAAAACCATCACCCTTGGACATTTTATTCCATCTTTTCCTTCTCCTTCGACGACCCATCTTATGACTCTTTTGGTGGGCCGCCATTTGCTTCTCGCCCGCGACTCTCGACCCTCTCCGATGCCGCACCGCCTGCATCCACGACCTTGTAATGATCCATACGCCCGCACGACCCTTGACGAACCCTTTGTCGCTCTCGCCCCTTTCCGATTCACTCGCGGCTCCCTCCCCCTCTCCGACCAGCCCGCCTTGTCACTGTGTCGCCGCCATCGGACTTGTCCCTATTTGTACCTGCCTCGACGCAGGATGTAATCCCAATCTGCAACCCCTCCTCGCTGCTCGGTCCAGCGGCCTTTGCGGTGCCCTTCTTGTGGGTCAGTTCAGTACCGTGAGGGCGTGTGGTGATGCCTTCAAACAGAGACAGTCGCAATCCGCGGTGGAAGGAGGCGAGGCGGTAGATCGTCCCGGATTCGTCGAGCATCATCCTTCCGCGCCGGAACTCAGCTCATCCTTCAACCCCGCGGCCGTCGTCGTCGTATGTGCCGTTGCCAAGGCCGCCGCAAAGGCCGGTTCGGCGGGCATGTATCGGAGGACTGGTCACAGTGCATACCTGTGCACGTCTTCCACGCAGAAATCCTCGACAAACTCTTCGCCGGTCTCGCCGCATTGTGCGTCCAATCCCGCCTCCTTGCAAGACGAATCCGCCGTGCTGTTCTGCCGACATCGACCACTCGCTGCTGCCGTCTGTATCTCGTCGAATGTGCCGGGCTCCGGTCTGATCAACTCGTCAGTTACCCTGTTGGATCGGAATCGCTCTGCAGCCTGCCAGATCCCAGCAAGGGTGCACGTCCACGGCTAGCTGTCCGGACTGGGGAAGTACGCAGCGAAGGGTAGACCAGTCGAGTCGATGAGGCACGTTGCGTGCTGCGGCGCACCTGATCGCCCTTGACCACCTTCCACGCCACGCCGGCCTACGAGGCGAGCGCATGCGCGGCCAAACCCTCGATCAGACCGGCCGCAGAGAGGTAGAGAGAGAGAGACAGAGAGACAGAGAGACAGAAGGAGAGGCGAAGACGGCTCAGCGGGCGGGTGGTGGTGGTGATGGGTGTGCAGGGTACACGCTTTGATCCGCCGTGGACCGCCGCCGTGCGCTCGGGCTCGGCAGTCGGGCCACTTTGGAAGCCGGCCGCGCAGACGCAGACGCTCGGGCCACGTCTTCCTTGCCAGATCTTCGCTCCACCTCGACTCTGGCAGAGTCGCCCCATCCTCCCTCTGGTCCACCACCATCCCTTCTCCATCCACCCGACCCAACATGGCGACTCTACGACGTACCGTGCCTCTCCTGCGCACCGCCCTGCCGCCGCTTCTCGTCCCAGCACCGCTGGGCACGTGCCGCGCATTCAGCACCACGTCCACCGCCCTGAAATCCAACGACGATGCGCGCCCCGCCTCGTCCCAGCTCTTCCCCGCGTCCAAGATCGCCTCGTCCATCTCCAAGCTCACCTCGCAGGGCTTCGACGAGTCCACCATCTGGGAGCAGCGCGTTGTCTGGGGCGACCACGATGCCTTCGGTCATGTCAACAACGTCAACTACGTGCGTTGGCTGGAGAGCTCGCGCATGTTCTTTGTCGAAAAGGTCAGCGAGGGCTTCACCAGGGAGCGCAAGGAGGACATCATCCGCGGCAAGGGCAAGAGCATCATCCTCGCAAAGATCGACGTCAAGTATATCCGCCCTGTGACGTGAGTTGCGCCCGTCGCCGACGGCAAGAACGTGGAAGGGCCAAGAGGCTTGGTCGATGGCGTCAGGCTGACCCGCTAGTCCTCATCGTGATCCTCGTCTCCTCTCCTCCTCCCCCTTCCCCCCGCAGGTACCCCGACGTCGTAAGTCTTCCCCCACACTGTCCTCACTGATCCTCCGGTCCGCCATTCACCCACCCCTCGCCTCCTCTCCCTTACTGTGCTGCGCACAGGTGCTGGTCGGCCAAGCCGCCGAGCTACCGCTGCAGAAGGACAGGTTCAACATGCGCGCCGTCATCTACAGCGTCAAGCAGCAGGCCGTCGTCGCCGTCTCGAACCAGGACTGCGTGTCGTACGACTACCGCTCGCTCAAAAAGTGCGACATCCCCGCCGACCTCCGAATCGCCCTGGAAAAGACGGGCATCTCGGCCTCTCAACTCGAGCAACAGCAGCAGCAGGGGGGAAAGAAGTGATGCTTGTACGATTGCTGTCGAGTCGGTGGCAGGGCTGCAGTGCGAGCAAGATGTCGACAACACTCTGGCAGACGACAGCTTCGGCTCTGCGTTGTGGCTACGATCCACCGGGCAGCCCGGCAGTCTTGACCTGGTCCCACAACCACGGCATCTCCTCGCGCACCCTCGCCCGGATCTCGTGCCATGCGGATCCGCCCATCCTCTCCTCTTCGACCGTCATTTCCGCTTGCCTGTCGTCCACCGCCGTGGTGCCCGTGCGATCTGAACCGCCTGCGGCCGTACCGCCACCGCCACCACCGCCGCCGAACAGGCCTGCGATCGTCGCAGCGCGGCTATGCACCTTGGCGCGCTGACGATCGCGCTGGGCCGCGGCAAACTTGAGCAGTACCCGCAGAGTCTTGTCGTCCGGACCGACGATGCGGCCATACGCGTCCCGGATCGGTCTGAGCTGCGGTGATGATGCCGGTGACGACGAAGAGGATGCAGCGGCACCCGACGTCGAGAGGTCTTGCTCGCGCTCGTCGTCGGGCGCGTGCTCGAGCTCGATGCCGGCGTCGCGTGCGTCGCGCACCAACTGCCTCGGCATGCTGCCAAACACGAGCTCCACGGCCTCCTCGAGCCGACCACAGCGGCAGAGGCACTCGATCCACGCATCCCACGCCCCCTTGTTGATCGCCGTGGGTCGGCGGCGCAGTGGCGGCGCCCTTCGCGTCGCGAGCGGTGCCCCGCCAACACCACCCTCGAGCTCGTCGCTCGAAGCGGAAGCGCGCCTCTGGCGGTCGAGCCACCGCTGCGCCTCGAGGCGCTTGACGGCGGCCAGAGCCTGCCGCGCAAAGCGCAGCATGCCGTACCGCCCAGCGGTATCCAGGACGACCGAGAGCGTGGCGCCGTCGACTTCCTGCCGGTTGGCCATGAGGCTGTTCCAGATCGAGACGACGGGACCAGGCTCGCCGATGCGGTTGTAGGCGTTCATGAGCGCATTGATCAGCGGCAGGTCTGGCTCGACGCGCTCGTCGAGCTTGAGCAGCTCGTGTGTCGCGTAGACGCCCGCCGCCGACGGGGGCACCGCCTTGGCATAGTAGTCGAGCAGAGACGTGTACGTGGCGCAGCTCGGATGGTGGCCGGCCTCGCGCATATCGTTGACAATGGCCAGCACGTACTCGGGCGGCGCGCAGCCCTTGGCCGCCCCTCGTGCGTTGCCACCGGCGCCGACAGCGCCGCCCTCGCCTTCGCCCTCGACCGAGCGCAGTTCCAGCTTGCGGAAGTCGTCGAGCAGCGTCGTGTAGCCCTGCGCGCTGTAGTCCTCGTCGACGTCGCCCTGGTCCGGGCGGCCCCCGAGCTTGGCCACGCGGCGGTACATCTCGAACGCCTCTTTCCACGAGGAGCTGCAGCGCATCAGCACGCGTGCCGCCTGCAGCTTGCTCTCTGCGTCGATCCGCACGTCGTGGAGCGCCATCTGGCGCAGCAGCACGCGCGCCGTGCCGACGTCCTTGACCTTGGCGCAGCCCCGCAGCAGGGCGTTGAAGAGCTCTGTATCGAGCGCAGCCTCGGGCGCTTCGGTCGCTGCCCCCTTCCCTTTGCGCCCGTCGTCGCTGCCGCCGCTGGGAGCGACGTGGCGCAGCACATCATCCATCAGCTTCATGGCCGACGGTAGCGAAGGGAGGAAGGCATCGCAGTACGCCAGGACGAGCGGCATGACCATGGTCGAGTCCGGTGCGACGCCCGAGGCGAGGACGTGGTCGTAGAGCAGCTGCGCCTCGCGGATCTGGTTCGGATTCGGCGGCAGCTTGCCCTGCGGGTTCCTCAAGGTCAGAGCCTCGCTTGGCTGCCATTCGTCGCCCGACCGGGACGGCTTGGTCCATCGCTTGGCTCTGGGCGGCCTGCCGAGGAGCGATGAGATGAGGAGCGAAAAGCAGCCACGGTCTGCGCGGGCCGCGCCGGATGAATCGAGCGTCTCGATGCGCCGCAGCAGCGCCAGAGCCTCGTCGCTCGTCTGCAGTTCTTCGAGCTCGCGTTCGTGCAGCTGGAGCAGTGCCACGGTAAACCTTGGGCTGAGTGCGTCCGGCGCAGTCCAGCTCCGTACCGTCTCGACCGCAGCGTCGGCCCCACTGACCATGGCCTCGTGGCGGAGCACGGCGAGCCAAGCGAGTCGATCCGGGCCACCAGGGCCTTGCGGGGGCAGCCTGCCTCGTAGCGCCTCGGCGTAGCGCTGCGCGAGATGGACATACTGCTGCCTCTGCCCGTCGTCGTCGCACGAGCGGATGGCCATGCAGTTTCCATTGAGGGCCACGACGAGCGACGGGACTGGCATCGCTTCCAGCTCACCGATCCGCCTCAGCTGTTCTTCGGCCATGTCCGTCATGCCGAGCGAGTAGTAGAGCGAGGCGAGGGTGTTGCGGTTCTGGTCCGAGAGGCCGATGCACTCCGCCTCCATGCTCCGGACGAGCTGCTCGGCGCGGTCGAGGTCCTTGCGACGGCAGACGGCCTTGAGGACGAGGTTCCAGTCGACGGGGCTGGTCTTCCAGGTCGGATGCTGCGCGCGGATTCTTCGAAACGCCTCGACGGGATCGACGTACGACTTTGAGGCGGGCGACTCGTCGCAATAGGACCAAAGAAGGTGGTGGAGGTCTGAGGCGCCAAAGGGGAAGCCAAATACGTCGCGCATGCCGTAGAGGATGCGCCTGGCGAGCTGCGCCTCGTGCTGCCCAAGGCGCCGGATGCCGGTGCTTCTGCGAGGAGCGTAGAGGACGGTTCTGATGGCGGTGACGAGGTCGGCCTTGCGTATGCGGAAGTCGTGGCTGGAATGCCCGATGGGCGCCCTGACCTGCCAACGCCGGGCGACATCCTCGAGGTGGCGGCGGTGGGCGTGAAAGGCGTCGACGAGCTCCTGGTAGGCCGACGCTATCGCCGACACGTTGCGAGCGCTGATGGCTCCGCGGAAGCGGGCGTATGCGTCGGTCGAGCGCTGCGGGTGCTGAAAGAGGGACTGGGGCTGAGTCTTGGGGGCATTGCGATCGAAGAAGTGGGCGAGCGAGGAGGCCATGCGAGAGCCGGGGAGCGCCGAGGCCAAGGCTGAAGAGGCGGAGGATGTAGCCGGGGGTGAGGGCCATGCAGTTGAGGATGAAGAGGCGAGGGCGGTGCCACATCTGCTCGAGGGTAGGCAGGCAGATGAGCGTCTAGGCTTGCACCTGGTGGTTGTCGAGGCGTGCCCGGTGCTAATATCGGAGCAAGGTCCACTGGCGGACCATGCCGGGAAGACGTGGGTGGATGATAGGGTCGAGAAGGGTAGGGATGGTGCGACAGCGGCGGTTTTGACGTCGGCGCTGGGCAGTCTGGATGTCGACGGTGCCAGAGCCGTATGCGTCGACGACGAAGCCGGACGCTTGGCCCTGGCGACGCTGCTCGACGAGGCCGCCCTTCGCATGGTGTCTGCACACCCTCTGTGCTCGTTCAACGGTGGACGACGAGATGGAGCATGGCGAGGTGCGATGGCAATCCTCGGACAAGCTAAGGTGCAGAGTAGTGGAGTGAGGGGTGAGCGTACAGCGCCGGAGCTCGAGAAGAACCAAGCACAGCAAAGGCCGCCCACGGGCTCGCAAAAAATTGGCCGAGCAACGGACCGGCGGTAGCCCAGCAGGCGGGTCGTGCGCACGAAAGTCTCTCGGCCGGGAAATCTCCGAATTGCCCCAGCGCCAAGCGAGCTGCGAGGGCTGGGGTCTGACGGCGGCCCACACCGGACCCCTAGCAGCAGCTGGCAGGCCTGCCGGTCATCACCTGCCGCCTGCCCGCCTGACCTGCTTGCTGCCTCGGCCCCCGCTGCCGGCCGTTGGGGGTGGGATCCGGTGGCCCTGGCTGGCGTGGCCTCGCTGGCGGCCGGGCTGGCAAAGGGTCCTTGCCCGCACCCGGCCTGGCCTCGTCTCTGGCTCTTGCTTGGCCGACTGGCCGACTGGGCCCTGGCCTGCTTCTGGCCTCGGCCTCCGGGCCCACCGACGGACCTGGAATCAGAAGATCGAAGCACGCCGCCGCTTGCCAG